CTCGTGATGCACCCACCTCGGCCTCCCAAAGTGCTGGGATTGCAGGCTTGAGCCACCGCGCCCATCCAGTTTTTAATTTTTTGTAGAGATGGAGGTCTCACTATGTTGCCCAGGCTGCTCACAAAATCCTGGCCTCAAATGATCCTCCTGCCTTCCAAAGTATTGGGATTACATGTAGGGAGAAAATCCCACAAGTGCCGTGGCAAGGGTCCGAAGCCTCAGCCTCTTCCCATGCATATATTGATTTAGAAAAGAATTAGAAATGTAGGGACATAGTTACTCACTTATAATCATAAAGATAGATACTCAGTATAACCTTTATTAATGACTATCGGGTTATGAAGCATGGAACTGAGGTGACATTGTGAACTAAGTGATCCTAAGGCAAGCTGCTCTAAGCCCTCTGTCACGCCGCATAAGGGCTGCTGGAGGGCGCCTCGGCTGGGAGTCAGCCCAGCGCTGAGAAAGCGCCTGCTGTTTAGCCAGCTAGGGAAGGAGACGTCCAAAATGACCGAGACGTCTCCTTCCTGGGGGAGTTAGGAGAAAACTCCGCTTCTCCAAGCTCTTGTGACAAGGCCTGACGGCTGCCAGGAAGACCTGCAGACATCCGGGGCTGAACTGTCTCTATGTGACGCTGGGCTTCGGTGGTCACGTTCCATGTCCACTCTCATGCACTGCTTCTGCACCTGGTTTCTCTTTTTCTTAAAAGATTAGAATAATAGTAACAATTTCAGTGTCCTTGACATTTCTGACAAATATGCAAAGAGCGCTGACGCATTGGGTTTTCTGCTCGCCTCGGCTACTCGCAAGTCCCAGGCCCCCTGTCTTCAAGACATGTGACTTACCTGACCCTATCACTGACCACCATTGCCTCACCCTACCTGCCCTTCCCCCTGCTGTGTACTCAATAAAAGTCAGAGTGTCCCAGCTCTTGGAGCCACTGCAGGTCTCTGTGCTTGGGTTGGCAGTGGACCCCCAGGCCCAAACTCTCTTTTCTCTGTGTCTGTGTCTTTTATTTCTACAGTTTCTTGTCTCTGCACCAGCAGTGAGGGGCTCATAGAACCCAATAGGGCTGGACCCTGTAATTATAAGGCATGAGCCACTGTGCCCAACCTATTTTGTTTTTTTTGGTTTATTGTTTTTAGAGACAGGGTCTTGCTATGTTGCCCAGGCTGGCCTAGATCTTCAGGGCTCAAGAAATCTTCCTACTTCAGCCTCCTGAAAAGCTGGGACTACAGGCATGCGCCACGGCTCCCAGCTTGAATGAATTCTTTTTAATTTTAATTTCTGTCACCAAAAACACTGTGACTGATACAGAGTCAACTACAATTTTACTACTTTTTTCATTATATCTGATCAGATATAACATCATAAACACACTGGTGAAGAAGAGTTATAATCAGAGTACCACTTTTTTTTTTTTTTTTTTTTTTTTTTTTTTTGGTGCCGTGACTCGGATCAGAGTACCACTCTAATTGAAGCTTTGAAATTGCCAATAAGCCACCTGCAATCCCTTGGTGCAGAGAAAAGGAGAAGAACTTGGACATCTTGATTTCTTACCAGATATTCAGAGGTCATCCACCTGGCTGGCTCCCTCTTAGAGTGTGACATCATTTTTTTTTTTTTTTTTGAGATGGAGTTTTGCTTTTGTTGCCCAGGCTGGAGTACAAATGCACGACCTCTGCTAACCCGAAACCTCCGCCAGGTTCAAGTGATTCTCCTGCCTCAGCCTCCTGAGTAGCTGGGATTACAAGCATGTACCACCAGGCCTGGCTAATTTTGTATTTTTAGTAGAGACAGCATTTTTCCATGTTGGTCAAGCTGGTCTCGAACTCCTGACCTCAGGTGATCCACCCACCTTGGCCTCCCAAAGTGCTTATAGGCAAGAGCCACTGCCCACGGCCAGAGTGTGGCGTCTTTACAGTGGACTGTGGGCTGGGCGCAGTGGTTCATGCCTGTAATCCCAGCACTTTGGGAGGCCAAGGCAGGTGGATCACCTGAGGTCGGGAGTTCTAGACCAGCCTGACCAACATGGTAAAACCTCGTCTCTACTAAAAATACAAAATTAGCTGGGCATGGTGGCGCATGCCTGTAATCCCAGCTACTCAGGAGGCTGAGGCAGGAGAATCACCTGAACCCGGGAGGTGGACGTCGTGGTGATCCAAGATCACACCACTACACTCCAGCCTGGACAACAAAAGTGAAAAACTCTGCCTCAAAAAAAAAAAAAAAAATGGGCCATGAAGCCTTTTGCCTAAGACCTTGCAAATGTCTCCCCAGGGGTAGCTATTCACACCTAGCAGACAACACACTAGTGTGGACATCTCAGTGCACTTGGCAAAGCCGATCTCTGAAGCCTCCTGTACATCGGGCCAGCCATGGCGCTTGCACTGGCAAGGATCTTGCTCCAGCTCTTCAGTGATCACAATAAAGTGATTAACACGGAGTAGCCAGTACAATGATTATTTCCTATCGGAGGTGGGCGGTGCCTTAGGCAACACCAGGCAGAAAAGCCCAGCACTGTCTCAGCCATTTCTGAGCAGACTCAGAAAGTGATCCTGGTTCTCCAACTTGAGCATGCATCAGAATTGCAGATAGTGGTGGTGAAGGGGGTGGAGAGTGAGGGTGGGGTTGGGAAGACTTGTCAAGACACGCACTGCTGAGCCCTACCCCTAGAGTTTCTGATTCAGCAGGTCCGAGTGGGGCCCGAGAAGCTGCATTCCTCACAAGTTCTCAGGTGCTGCTGGTGCTGCTGGTCTGGGGACTATACATTGAAAATCACTGTTAGAAGATTGCTGAATTGGATAAAGACCCCTCAAAGGAGAAATTATCCAGCACGTGGTTTTTCTACTCCCCTGAAGCCCTCGGCTCAGCAAAGATGCCCTGCCATCTCCACTGTGGGTTCTGAAGCCTTGGACAAGTACGGGAGTGAAATGTACATCTATGTAAAAAAATGATACACAATACTAACTTCATGCCTGTGGGCATAGAGCCAGAGATGTCACAGCATGCCTGCATCTCTATCACATTGTCACAGCAGTCCCTAGATACAACGATTCCTGTATTACAGAGAAAGAAATGGAGGTACCAGGCAGCCATCACTGTTGTCTACAAAGTCACACGTGGAAGGCAATTTATTTTTGGTTATGAGAATTGTCAAATGCACATAAAGGTGGAATTAATAAATCCCCAAATGCCTCAACTGTAGTGGAGTCTGGCAATGACAGTGGTTCTCAAATTTGAGGGTGCATCAGAATCACCTGAGAGGCTTGCCAAAACAGAGACTGCATGGGTATCATCCACACACAAGAATGACTAAGATGACAAGACAGCACTGGCAGGGAATCAACTCACAAAGGTAGTTTTATATTTCGTTCTGCTTTGTTCTTGAGGCAGGGTCTTGCTCTGTCACCGAGGCTGGAGTAGAGTATTGTGATCACAACTCGCCGCAGCCTCAACCTCCTGGGCTCAATCGATCCTCCCACCTGAGCCTCCTGAGTAGCTGGGACTACAGGCATGTGCCACCATGCCTAGTTAATTTTTGTATTTTTTTGTTGAGATGGGGTTTTGCATGTTGCCACACTGTGTCAAACTCCTGAACATGACTTTGGTATTACAGACATGAGCCATGGCACCCAGCCAGATTTTTTGATGTTATCTCTAAATGAGTAAATCTAAATATTGCAGCAGGGACACTGCTCAAAAGGCAGATTGATAATATACCTCGTTCTGGCAGTCCTGTTTGGGCCTGTCTTCATATTTATGTTTTTTTCTTTAAGACACAGGGTCTTACTCTGTCACCCACACAAGAGTGCAGTGACAGGATCATAGCTCACTGCAGCCTGGAACTCCTGTCCTCCAGCAAGCCTCCTCCCTCAACTTCCCAAAGTGCTGGGATTACAGGCTGGAGCCACCACGCCTGGCCTCTTCACTTTAAAAACCACCCAGAAGGGATACAAAATAGAATGTCACTTTGACAGCTTTTTTTTTTTTTTTTTTAATTGAGACAAGGTCTTGCTTGGTGGCCCAGACTGGAGTGCGATGCCGATGCCGTGGTGACGGCTCACTGCAGCCTCAACCTCCCGGGCTCAGAGGCTCCTCCCACCTCAGCCTCCCAAACAAGCATGTGCCACTGCATGCTGCTAATTTATTTTTTGTAGAAATGGGGTCTGGCCATGTTGCCCAGGCTGACAGCTTCTAATAGAAGCAAACATATGCTCCTCTTGTGAGCAGTAAGTTCATTTGCAGATATTTATCCCAGAGAAATGAGAGTTTGTATTCTTAACTTGTACCAGAATAGACACTATAGCCAGGAAAGAAATGAGGGAAGAGGAAGGAGGGAGGGAGGGGGAAGGAGGGAGAGAGGGAGAGGAAGGAAGAAGGGAGGGAGGGAGGGAGGGAGGGAGGAAGGAAGGAAGAATGGAAGTTCATTTCATCAACCGGGTAAACTTTTTAAAAATATGGTATCTGCACAGTGGAGTACTACTCAGCAATAAAAGGGAAGGAACTGATATGAACTACTTGAATTCCCAACAGGATGGATCTTCTAGTGTGTTATGTTGAATGACAATATTCTGTATTACTTCAAGTTTATGAAGTCCAAGAACAGGCTAAACGAACCTCCAGCGACAGAAAGCAGAATCCACTGCAGGGGCTGGCTGAGGCTGGGTGGGGAGGGGTGTTGGGGATGGGGACAGGGAAGGAGGGGAGGTCAGGATGGCCCCCCTACGGAGCTTACTGGGGGTGACGGGCATGTTCTATTTGCTGATCAGGGCAACGGTTACACAGGTGTACACATACATAAAAATTAGTGGAGCTGAACACGGAAGGTCTGGGCATCGCACCGTGTGTAAGTTAAACTTCAGTAAAGTGCTCTCAGCACACATCCGCAGCCGCACCCACACAAAATCCCAGGAGGCTCAGTACCAGCTGCAGTCCGGGCCTTGCCCACTTCGGGGAGGCCACGACCCAGGGCATCCGGTTTCCTCTCGCTCCAGTCCAACTTCCGCGCATCTACGCGGCCGGGACTGCCGCTACCTTTCTGGAAAGCGCCGGCCTCGGGTCCCGGATCCCGCCCGCCACAGGCGTCCCCGGCTGCGGGGCAGGGACCGGGCGCCCCGCCCTCACCAGCGCCCGCCCCCGCCCGCCCCCGGCCCGCCCTCCGCATCTGGCCCCTGGGCCGCGATCCCGGGAGGCGGCCAGCGAGCTGGGGTCGCGCGATGTCGCACGGAGCCGGGCTCGTCCGCACCACGTGCAGCAGCAGCGGCGGCGCGCTCGGACCCGGGGCCGGTGCGGCCCAGCCCGGCGCGAGCCCCCTGGAGGGGCTGCTGGACCCCGGCTACCCCCGCACCCACGCGGCCCTGCTGAAAGTGGCGCAGATGGTAAGAGAGCGCGGGGCGCGGGGCGGAGGTCCCACGGGGCGTCCCGGGAAAGCAGGGACCGGGTCCGGCCGGAGCCCCGGGAGCGTCGCGCAGCGGGCGGGGAGCCGCGTGGCTGAGTTCGCGGCGGGGCTTCCTCCGGGAAAGTTGCTGCCTCAGCCCCCCGCGCTGGAGCTCGGTCTCCCGCTGACGCCGGGCGCCGGGATCGCCAGTTTCTCCGGCCACCCCCCGCCCCGCGGGGCCTGACCCGCCTACCGACCGAAACCACGGGCAAAAGTTCCTTTTCGTCTTTCTTCCTCTTCTCTGGGCCGCGCCGCTTCGAACCCGAGCCGGGGGTGGAAGAGTCGCCCAGGCGGCGGCGCTGAGGCAGCGAAACCCGACCTCCTCCCCGTCCACGGCCTCCTCTTTCCTCCGAGCCCAGCGCGGCACGGCATCCCTGCTCTGTGCGCAGTTTCGCTTGAGGGAGGTCAGGGGGTCTCACGTTCCAAGGTGGGAAAAAGAACCGGGGCCCTCGAGCCGGCCGTCCTGGTCCCCTGCGCTCTCAAGTTCCAAGGGCAGGTGGTCAGCTGGGAGAGGCCTGATCTCAGGGGCTGGTTCTCACGTGGGGGAGCCAGTCGGCCGTGGAGCCAGGCAGGATGAATGTCTGGACTTGGGTTGTGGCTAGCTCAGCACCAGGGCCTGCCTGCTACCAAGGCAGACGTTGCCTGGCCGATTCTCTTGCTCACTCTTTTCTCCCCTCCCGTTTTTCCCTTCTTTAAAAGTGTGTAATCTGAAACACCTTTTCCGTTTGTATGATGTGTTTTGGAACTGGGTTGGGCCGTTTGTGAGTCTCCACTTGTAATGTTTGCACCGAGAATGGTAGGGAGGGGAGCGGGAGGTTTCAAAAAGGGGCGTGGGGAAAGGAACGTAGGGCCGGCGCAAGGTCAGACCCTGAAGGTGGACCGGCCCAGGGGTTGGACACAGGGTCTCAGACGTCTGTGCATCTATGGCACTGCTATTCCACACACACTGGGTGTGCATAAGGTGGCCCTCATGTCCTGCTTGGGCCAGACCTCAAGAGAAGGGGGCGCTGAGTTCCTGCCTCCCTAAGAACCTTGTCTCGATGAAGCAAAAATTAGGGATAGAGGCATTTTAGCATCGTACCAAAAAATCTGGTGCTGAGCATTGTTGGGTTTGAGCAGGGCATTTTTTGGCCCAAGCTAAGAGATTTGATCAGCCAAAGAGAAGAGACCAACCCATCTCACCATGCGCTGGGGTGAGGCAGGCCCTACCTGAGCACGGGAAGAAATGACTTTGGTAGACAGAGAATGGGATCTGAAGCCTCCATCTTGGCCTATGAGTTTGCTGGACAAAGATATTATGGGATGAAAAGTCTCCTTGTTGGTTTGTGAGTTTGGTACACAAACATAACAGACATGAAACCTGGGCAACATAGGGAGACCTCTTCGTTTAAAAAAAATGGTGTGGTGGTGTGGGCCTGTAGGCCCAGCTGCTTGGGAGGATTCATTGAGCGGAGGAGGTCAGTGAACTGATTGAGCCACTGCACTACAGCCTGTGTGGCAGGGGGAGATCCTGTCTCTAAAACAAAAACACACCAAAAAAGAACGGTAATGGAGATGAGAAGACTTCATGTGGTCCATGAGTTTGATGAATAAAGATATTGGGAGATGAAAAATCTCCACCTCAGTTTTTTGTTTGTTTTTTTGTTTTGAGACGGAGTCTTGTTCTGTCGCCCAGGCTGAAGTGCAGTGGTGCAATCTCGGTTCACTGCAATCTCTGCCTCCCGGGTTCAAGTGATTCTCCTGCCTCAGCCTCCCGAGTAGCTGGGATTACAGGCATAAGCCACCATGCCTGGCTAATTTTTTGTATTTTTGGTAGAGATGGGGTTTCATCATGTTGGCCAGGCTGGTCTTGAACTCCTGACCTCAGGTGATCCGCCCGCCTCGGCCTCCCAAAGTGCTAGGATTACAAGCGTGAGCCACTGCACCTGGCCTCCAACTCATTTTCAGCTCCTCAGCTAGCCTCTGGCCTATGGCCCTTGTGCCAATTTGCAATTCACAAGAGTGGGGCCTGTTGTTCCGAAAAAGAGAACAAAGACTTGAAGAATTTCTTTATCGCTGCTTCTCTGTGTGCCCCTCTTACAACCTTGCCGGGAGTCTCACACCTTCCCTGGAGGCGTCTCCATCACTGCTGCAGCCTTGTTTGATCAGACCCTCTGGGGCAAAGCTGCCCTTGCCGGCTGGCCGTATTAGAGAAAATAGTTAGGGCTATCTACTGGGCCTCTTGTCTAACGCCTCCCGGTTTTCCCCCTCCTCTCTTCTCAAGCTCTGCTTGGGCATTTGAGGTTCATCTGTCTTCTTTGCTGGAAAATGCTTGCTTAGCCAAGTTTTAACATTAGGAAAGGGCAGAAGCAGCTAAATGAATGCCACCCATTGGGCTCTCTTTCTATGGGTCTCTCATTTTGACCATTGATGTCTCATTGCATACTGAACAGGCTGACCCTTTTGTCTTCAGCTTCTCATGAAATGTTTTCATTATGATCTGATCAATAGATCTGCCAACATGTCGTCTTAAGAAATCATGAGACAGGCTGTTCCACTGGAGAATGACTTCCCTTGTCTTGGGCCTTGTATTTTTTTGATACAGAAAGGGTTTCGCTATGTTGCCCAGGCTGGTCTTGAACTCAGGGGTTCAAGGGATCTGTCCACCTTGGCCTCCCCAAGTGCTGGGATTACAGGTGTGAGCCACTGCACCTGCATGAGATTTTTTTCAATAGTGACATTTTTGAGACCTATTATTGTTTTTGATCATGTTCTAGTACTTATATACTATATACCATGTATGTGTAATCTCACTGCATGTTTCTAGGAAACCAGTGAAGTCACATGTTTCATAGGTAAGGAAACAGGCTAAAGAGGTAAAGAGACACTAAAGTCACACAGCTCTTAACAGTAGTGGCAGAACTGATCCAGGCCTAGAGGCCTCATCTCCAGAACGCATAACTCTGGCAGAGTTGCTGCTTGTTAATAGTTCTAGGGAAATCAAAGCCACAGTGAGATAACACTTCACACCCACGGAGATGACAATAAAAAGGACAGAAAATGACAAGTGGTGCAGATAAGGCGGATGTGAAGAAATTGGAACGCTGATACAGTGCTGAGAATGCAAAACGGTGCAGCCACTTTGGGAAACGGTGCAGTTTCTCAAAAGTTACCATGTGACCCAGCAATTCTACTCCCAGCTCTACCCGAGAAAAACGAAAACAGATGTCTGCATGAAGACTTACACATTCACGTGTTCATAATAGCATCATTCCTAATAGCCAGAAAGTGGAAACAACACAGCTGCCCATCAAGCGATCAATGTATGAACAGCAACTAAAACTGTATTCATACAACTGAATATTATTCAATCATAAAAAGGGAGAATGAGGCACTGATGCATGAAATAATATTGATAACCTTGAAAACACTAAGCTGTGAAAAAAAAAAGCCAATCACAAAAGCCCACATTATATGATTCCATATATATGAAACGTCCAGAATAGGCAAATGTATAGACACAAAAAGTAGATTAGTGGTTGCCTAGGTCAGGGAGCAGGGGTTGAAAGGAAGTGGGAAGTGACTGCTATCATAGGTATGGGGTTTCTTTTGGGGGTGATGAAAATGTTCAAAAATTGGTGACGACGCTGGGTGCAGTGGCTCATGCCTGTAATCCCAGCACTTTGGGAGGCCAAGGTGGGTGGATCACCTGAGGTCAGGAGCTCGAGACCAGCCTGACCAATATGGTGAAACCCCGTGTCTACTAAAAACTACAAAAATTAGCTGGGCGTGGTGGCGGGCGCCTGTAATCCCAGCTGCTGGGGAGGCTGAAGGAGGAGAGCTGCTTGAATCTGGGAAGCAGAGGTTGCCGTGAGCTGAGACTGCACCACCGTATTCTAACCTGGGTGACAGAGCGAGACTGTGAGACTCACATACACACACACACATTGGTGATGGTGATAGTTGCACAACTCTGAATATATTAAAAACCACTGAGTTTTATACTTTAAATGAGTGAACTGAATGGTATGTAATTATGTAAATAGATCTAGGGAGGAGTGTGAGGGGCAGGGTGCTCTGCGTGCACCACTGGGCGTGGGGAGGCCACAGCTACACTTCAGGAAATCCCCATGGCGTTCCCACTGCACCCACTCCTAGAAGAAGGGGTGTCCACTGCAGAGTCACAGAAGCAGGGCTGAAGGGCATCCCCTGAGTGCCTGAAGGGTCTGAGCTAAAAGGGATGCCCTGGGGTCTGAGGGCGCTAGATATCCTTGCTGCGGGAGTAAGGAGACCCCAGGACGGGGCTTGTGGCCCTACCAACACTCCCTTCTATTTCTTCATTCAACAGACCTTTATAACTGCCACACTCATCTCCATTTGTGCAGAAGCAGACGACTGTGACCAAGTTCTTGGCCCTCAAGAAATCTGTGGTTCAGCTTCTCATGGGAAGAGAGTCTTTACCAGACCCTAAGAGCTGGTTCTTGGATCTCGTGCAGGAAAAAATTTGGGCAAGTCGTATAGTGAAGTTAAGACAGTTTACCAGGACCAGGCACGGTGGCTCACACCTGTAATCCCAGCACTTTGGGAGGCCAAGGTGGGTGGATCATCTGAGGTCAGGAGTTCGAGACCATCCTGGCCAACATGGTGAAACCCTGTCTTTACTAAAAATACAAAAATTATCCAGCTGTGGTGGCACTCACCTGTAATCCCAGCTACTTGGGAGGCTGAGGCAGGAGCATCACTTGAACCCGGGAGGAGGAGGTTGCAGTGAGCCAAGATTGAGCCGAGGCACTCCAGCCTGGGCGACAGAGTGAGACTCTCTCTCAAAAAAAAAAAAAAGTTTCCTGGAGACCACTCAATTACAGAGTAGGGAGTCTGCAGAATGTAAGAGGAGGAACGTGCCCATTGCAAACACGGTGCTTGCTTTTACAGGTTATTAAAAATAGCGTACTTTGTTGCAAA